TTAAACATCAGAAAACGAGAATTGAAATGTTATATCGAGCCTTTCTATTGTATGATAGTGAATCTTGGAATGTGAGCAAAACATTAAGAAGAGTTTGGAGGCAACTGAGATGTGGTTATTGAGAAGAATGTTGTGAATACCTTGGACAGCCAGAATAACCAACATTGAATGCTTTGAAATTGCTAATGAAAGTAGAACATTATATACAACAATGAAAAGGAGAAAAACAAAGTTCTTTTGTCATGTAATAAGAAAAGGAGCACTGGTAGACGAGGTAGAGGCAGACCAAGAGAAATTATGGTGGGGGGCTTAAGACAATGGCATGGAGGAAAATCATCAGTAAAATTGATTCGGAACTCCAAATACCGAGATCGGTGGCGATGCATGAACGCCTACGCCAGCTGGCGAGGCACTTGATGATGGTGACTGTACACTCTGAACCTTCATATATTGCCTTAATAATATGCGTGTGTTTGTTTTCAATTGGTATACCATAGGATTCCAAACATTTGCCATAGTGATGTTTTGTGTAAGCTATCAAAAGACTTCTTAAAGCCGATGAAATCCTAAATAAGAGGTTGTTAGTTAAAAAAAAAAATTCCTTGAAAATAAGTTTGCCGGCCATCTCACTGACACAACAGCAGCCACAAAAAAGGCAACATATAGTGGGGTTTATTCGGAACGTCCCATATGGCGTTACGCAACTATCTTTTATACACAAAGATGTTTTCCTCTAACGCAGGGGTTCTCAAACTTGTGTGGCCGCGGCACCCTTGTCGGGGTAAAAATATTTCGCGGCACACCCACACATAGAGCGCTTAAATTCTTAGGAAAAGAAGAAAACATAGAGCACATTGAAAGTTCATGGTATTTAATGTGATCAATAAAAATGTTTGGATGAATTTTGCATTGCATTCTTTTCATTTTTAGAAATGATCTTCATCTTGGATGACCTGCCTCAGGAGATGAAGCGCGGCGTTTGAAGATTTCTTAACCTGTATGTACTAAATCAAAATGATTGCATTCCAGATGACTTTAATTTGAACGGAACCAAACAGCCGTTCGAGGCACTTCTATGGCAGTTAACGCATTGCCCCTCTAGTGCCTGTTCGTTTCCAAACGAAACAAAACCAAACAAAGTGAAGTAGCTAGGATCATATTTTCTTAGTTTTCCTCAGATTTTCTTTTGGTCGTGAGTTGTTTTGCCGCGAACTAAGGCAGACCAGCTTGGGTGGTTTAAGCTCAAAGCTGTCTCCTGAGACAATGTTCTGACTTATCGACTGCATCTTAACGAATGCAGGCAGAGGATCAGTCGCACCGTCAGATAAATACAAGGCCAATTCTTAGCGCGTTGCGACTGACATTTTATGCCGTACGAAAAACGTCTTAGTGTGAAAACAGTAATAAACTCTTTTCGACAGTGGGGAAGGAAGACAACTTTTAACTCTTAAATATCCGCATGCCTTCTTTAATAATTTCACAATGTTTTGTCGACTTTTGTTGATTACTGCCGCGGCACACCTAGCATAAGCTCGCGGCACCCTGAGAACCTCTGCTCTAAGGAACAAACGATACAGATATAAGGAGTTGACGTAATGCCTGCCTGAGGTTGTGAAAATGTCACAATAATGAATAAAATTTTGGGCTCTACTGGAAAATTTGGCCGGTAAGCTGGACTGCTTCGGCCGGCTTAGCGGGGCTTAGTGGGAGTTATGTCTCTTCGCGTCCCTTCGCCAAACTCAAAACAAGTCGCGGAAAAAGTCACGAATCAAATGACATACTTACCTATCATCATCCGGGTGTGTGTAGGGCTGCGTAGGGTTGCGTCTAGGGTTACCTATCATCATACGGTTGCGCGTAGGGCTGCGTAGGGTGTCTATCATCATCATATGGTTGCGTGTAGGGATGCGTAGGTGTCTATCATCATCATCATACGGTTGCGTGTAGGGTTGCGTAGGGTTTGGGTTACCGGTAGGGTTAGGGGTGTGGGTTAGGGGTAGGGTTAGGGGTAGGTTTAGGGGCAGGGCTAGGGGTTAGGGTTAGGGTTAGGGGTAGGGTTAGGGTTAGATGATGTGAAACTATTCACGTAGGAGGTGGAAATACTGGCCGACAATCTGATGCTTGTGGGAGTGGCGCCACTGGAAGTGTGCCAAATATGACGGCAATAGCGCGCGGCTGGTGTCCAATCGGTGGCGAATTGTCCGTGTCAGTAGCATCCCCCGTCCGTCGACTGTTTGCGCGTGCATGCGACTGTGCGCGATTGTAGGGAACTACGGCGTCACAATTGTCACACCTAACCCTAAACCCTAACCCCTAACCCTAACCCCTAACCCTAAACCCTAACCCTAAACCCTAACCCTAAACCCTAAACCCTAACCCTAAACCCTAACCCCTAAAAGCTAACCCTAACCCCTAACCCTACCCTTCATCTATCTTACGCAAACAACCAACCCTACACGCAATAAGCAGCCCTACACGCAACCGTAGGACGATGATAGACACCCTACGCAACCCTACACGCACCCGGATTATGATAGGTAAGTATGCCGTTTGATTCGTGACTTTTTCCGCGAATTGTTTTGAGTTGTTTTGAGTTTGGCCAAGGGACATAACTCCCACTAAGCCCCGCTAAGCCGGCCAGCGCAGTCCAGCTTACCGGCCAAATTTGCCAGTAGAGCCAAATTTTGACACAATCCCAAACTACAAGTGAGCATTTATTCAGAACAGTATATGGAAATATATGGAAGTATGCCTAAAATACCGAACCAAATGCGATATAAGTAATATGAATCACGTATACTGTAATCTAACATAATATGCAGTGGGATTTTTTAAAATACCAACACCACGGCATCAAAAATGTAGACGTGGTTAACTCTCAATACTAGTGGCGTAATCAAGACAAAGCAGTCTGCTATCAAATTTTCCGCAGTTGGAATCGAAAGGGGTATCTCCGAATTAGAACCGCGTTTCGGAACCAAACACACCACACTAATACTGGAGATCACTACAACAAATATAATATAATGCAATCTGTAGCAAGCAGCTTCCATTTATCTCATGCAAAGTAAGTAATAATACCACACACAGTTGCTAATTTACAGCGTATTTTCTGGGCTTCAATTGCAAAACACCAAAAGAAGCCAACAAAATTTCTTTTGAATCTTCAACATTGCACAGCAGTTTAGTTCCTTGCAGCGAGTCCTTCTTCTTCATCTCCTGGCATATCATTGGAGTGTTGTCCTCTTGTGCAGTCTTTTATCTAGTTACCAGGAATGTCTGGGGCAATAGTTGGGACACTGTAGAATAAAGGATACAACAGTTGCTCACTTTGTAATTAAGGTGTTCCTCTGGCGTATTTGTCTTTCTGTTTAGCGCTACTGAATGGTACATATTTAACCACCCCTCTTTGACCCACTAGGGTCGTGGAGGTGTATCGGTGGAAGCACAAGTACGCATAACCGCCCATCTTTCTCTGTCTGTTGCTTATATAGTAATTTAGTCCTGTCAATTTCTTGACGTTGTCATTGCAGGACCCCCCTCCGCCCCCCTCCGCACCCTCCGACCCCCCCCCCCCCCCCCCAAAGAAAAAACCGCCACTTCTTTAACTACCCCCCTTAGTATTCCTTGAAGTGTTGTCTACAATGTCAGCTCTGTGGGTAAGTCGATGCGAACCCTTCGTAATGCCGGTATGCAGGGTTCGATTCCAACTGCGGCCATGCGCCTTGCGTTGGTTTCGACAGTGGTATCAAGAAAGCCGACCGTCCAGTGAAAAGCGATGGCAAAGTACTGTAAAGTAAATTTGCCTAGAAAAACCAGCCAGAGGCTGTTGGGGTTGTTTCTGCAACGTCCTGTAAAGGATACGCAACTTACCTAATGTTGTAAAATATATTTAAAATATTGCGCCCCAAAGTCGGACGCAATTTTGTTCAAAACTGCACCCTGGCTGTTGCTTGAGGCCCTAATATAACCTAACTGGATGTTACCCACACTAAAAAAAAAATTAATTTAACGTCGTTATTAATTATACTAGAATATAACGTTTATCATCCCGTCAATAGAAACTGTTTCGCTTTTAAGATGAAATGTTCCATAAAAACTTTCGGTATCGTCGTGTGACTGGTGCTATCAACAAATTAGAAGTAAGAACTTGCCTAGATTTGATCCAGAGACACGAACTAAAGTTTTTCAAGAAAACCAGTACAAGTAAACTACATATAAGAGAATAGTATCAACTCCTTATTTTTTTTTTTAACATCATATAATCAACACATTAAACAGAGAAAACAAAATAATTCTTAGATAGCAGGTTGGTTACTACTGTCATTTGATTTTCACCGGCACAGGAACGGAGCAAGTAGTCGGTGATCCAAGTGATCCAAGTGCTGGGCCCGGCTCTCTAGCGTAGTTGGCTAAACCGGATTGCGCGGTGACCGTGTGAGGAACTCCTTGTGGTCCGGGTTCACTCCCGGGGGTAGGCAGAAAAGCCACATTTCTCCCAGATTAACGGTATTTACAATGGAATCATTGCCGAAAGGTTGCGATATCCATAATACCGAGCCTAAGATTAACAACTCATGGCTTCTGGATACTAAAAAAAAAAAAAAAATCCAAGTGCTGGAAGTTTGAAATATCTACTAGAACTGCGACTCAGATTTTATCCAGTTAGTGTTTGACACTTCACATCCTTTTTAACCGTTGTCGGTTTTTGAGACAGATATAAGGTTCTACTCCTTACTTTTCTAGCCGCCTCGACCATATACACATCATGCTGTTGTAGAATTTCTCTGTTATCTTTCGATCCTGTTATTAGTCTACCTCCTGCTCTACGTTCTTCTTCTTTTTTTTTTTTTTTTTTTTTCCTTTTTTTTTTTTTTTTTTTCCTTTTTTTTTTTTTTTTTGGGGGGGGGGGGGGGGGGGGGGGGGGGGTGGTGTATGCCTTTTAAGTTGTACACAGATGTTGTTTGTTATATTTTAATATTTAACTATTATAGAATGCCTTACATAAACTCAGCGCAAGATTTGCAGCACATTCTCCTGTAGTAATTGTAGCGACATAAGCGAGCTCTCTTGACTACAGTGCACTGATTGAACCCGTCTGTGCAATCAGGAATTTTATCTGCCAATTAGAATTACACCCAAAAAAAGTTATGTAAATAAATATATGTGTGAGTGTGTCTGCGTGTATGTGTGTGTGTGTTTGGTGTTTAATAAAAATATAAAAACTAGGATCGTGCGTCAAATAAAAATTACAATTTTATTTTTAAAAATGTTTGTCAAAAAGAAAGAAATTATAGGAAAAAGGATAACATTAGATGGATAATGCATAAATGAGATCAAAAACATGACAATTAAAAATGACTTCTTCTTCTTTCTTTTGTCAAAATCTGCTTGTGCCGCTAGGCGTCGCAGTCTATCAGATGATCGGCAACCGAGCCAGGGCGCGCTCAGTCGCTTCATATGCCGTGATGTTATGAAGTCTCAAGTTGTCCGTGACTCCTTCAATCCATCTTCTTCTTGGTCTTCCCCTGCCTCTTGGTGTTTCGATTTTCATGTTGTATGCTCTTGATGCTGGCATCGTTGGTTCCATTCTCATTAGGTGACCAAACCATTTCATTCTTTGCTTCTCAATAAATTTAACGATGGGTATGGTTCCAATAGTTCTTGTAATCACATCGTTTCTCACTCGATCTCTTCGGGTTTTATTCGCAGCCATTCTCAAACATCTCATTTCACAGGTGGTTAGTCATCTCTCGTGTTCTTTTGTTAATGTCCAAGTCTGACATTGATAACCTAATGTCGGTATAAAGATTGTATTTATAATTTGTCTTTTTATCTCAGCTGGGACAGCAGGGTGTTTTAAAATTGGGACAAGCTGGTAGGCGACATTGTTGGCTTGTTGGATTCTTGCTTCGATCTCTCTGTCTAAATGACTAAATATTTTAAAATAAGATCAGCTCACGTTAAAAAGAATCTTCCCTAGTGGTCGCTTGGGTTTTCGGGATCATATGTTTCTTTATAGGTCATACTTGGGTGAAAGGCAATGAGAGAGCAGATGCTCTGGCTTGCAATGCGACTTTCAGGAATGGACTATCTATAGACAGGACAGGTATCACCAATGCTATACGAGGGACTAAACGCTATAAGGCTTTCAGTTTCGTGAAAAGTTTTTTTTTTTTTTTTTTTTTTTTTTGAGATATTTGCATGCAGTCTATTTAGTTGAAGAAAAAAAAGAGGGGCTTTCATAGCACTGGGGAATTTGTGGAGGTCAAAAGAAATTAAAAGAAATACTAAATTTTTTTAATTCTATTGTCAAATCAGTACTATTGTATGGGGCAGAAACACGGAGAACAATTAAGACAATTACTAATAAATTACAGACATTTATTAACTGGTGCCTGCACATAATAGAGGGAATTAAATGGTATGATAGAATAACTAATGTAGAACTTTGGGAGAGAACTAAATAGGCTCTAGTGGACCAAGAGGTGAGGAAAAGATGATGGCGTTGGATATGACACACACTGAGAAAACAGGAGAACAGCATAACTAGAATGTCTTTGCATTGGAACCCACAGGGGCATAGGAATAAAGAAAGGCCAAAAAACACATGGAGAAGAGAGCTGGAGAATGAAGTTAGAAAGATGGGGAGGACATGGTGAGAGTTCCATGCAATGGCGAAGGATAAAACGACTTGGCGTGAGTTGGTTGAGGGCCTATGCTCCATTTAAGGAGAGAAAGGCAGAAGAAGAAGAAGAAGAAAACTGCTTGCTTTGTGTGTACCAAATTAAATCGCGAGACAGGAAAATCATGCGGTAACCACCCGTCATTCCATCAGCCAGAAGAGTATGCGAGTTGTTAGCCTGAAAGCACTTGAAAGTACACTCAGGAGGAGATCGGAGCACTGATGGTCATGTCCGAGATGCGATGAAGATGATCTCAAAAATGGACAATGAACAATGACGTTTCTTTTCAGACCCTCGGCTCTTAGCTTGATTGAACTCTTTTTCTCATCTCGTATGAACGTATTCCCTTCCTATTTCCTCCCCTCCGTACAATGCCATTTATGGCATACTGTTCCTATAAGTCTATCTGAATACCTGTTTTATTCATGTCCTGCTTGCAAATTGTAGTACAGACTGAGCCCAACTTATTCTTCTTATGTGTGTTAAAGGGCTCTACTATCCCTCATCTTCGAAGTTTGTCCTATCCATCGAAGGTTGAACAATGAGAAAACTGTTGTAAGACACGCTCTTCCCAATGCCTCAATCTTTAAAATATTATCTTGCCACCTGATGCAAAGTATTCTTCATAGTCATTGCACTTGAAAACTACTGAACCGTTTCTCCTAGTTTCAGTAAGTTGACAATGTTTCAGTACCATACACAAGAGTGCGAAATATCCTTAACAGACTGTAGCAAACCAACTTTAGCATTTGTTTTCTATTTGCAGTTTTATTCGGCAATTTTACTTTCGGTTGTTTACCGTTGCTATTTTACCGATTGACACTTCATCCATTGTCGAAATCAGCGACAAACGGCATGTTGTCAAATTCTCCGCAGGCTAAATTGAATCTAGTATATTGAAATTATGATACTACTTTCATTACTAATGAGCCACAGAAGCCGAGTCTGGGCTAGTAAAATTGTGTAATTTAAGAACATATACTCATAGCAGAATGTCCAGTTCTGATTGGATAAGGAATAATGATGGCTGAGGATGGTTGCATCCCATCAGGCTTTGTAATACATGATACCTCACACCGTCACGCAAGGAAATTACGAAAATAAGTATTTTTTAACATTTATTCTTATCATTTACATTAAGGGAGGGGGGAGTGGGTTGAGGAACCATCACATGACCATTACCACCACTATAACAAACACCATCACTGCTGCGACTACTACTACTAGCAGTAATTCTATTACTACTGTTGCTTTTATTATCAATTTATTATTCACTGTATCTTCACTTCTGTGATCAAAGTTTTAGCTTATTACCTTGAATACTAGAATCAGGGCAGCTGTGAGTGTTGCACGATTCTCTGGTCCTGGGTCGCGCTTCAAGTGGACAGTCATCAGCATCATTCTGGTCTGGATCAAGGCACCGGACTTCTCGTGTCCTAGATCCCGTGCCGCAAGTTTTCGAGCACTGCAAGGAGAGCTAAGAGATTTAATATTCTGCTTCCCAGTGTGGTTTCTGGGATCATATTTTTTTTTATTCAAAACAAAACACACACACACACACACACACACACACAAACAAACACACGCACACAAACAAACATTAAATGCGCTGCTCCTTGAAAAGGTTACTGATTAATTTTGTCAGTACTAAACAACGGACTCTTTGTTCATTCCAAAAGTAATATAATGTTTCAGATGTCTTCTATCACACACAGTTTTTAATTAACTTGTTGTATCTGAATTATTAGTTTACTTACTTGTGTCTCATTGTATCTTTGTTGAACCCCCTATACTCAAGTATTTACTGCTTTTAAGCATAACCTCTTGGAGCAGACAGAATTAAATGAACAGCTTGCTGAGACTGAAAGAGTTAAGGATTTGTCGAAGAAGAAGAGAAAGAAGCTCAAAGCAACCGTTACAGCAAAGTTTTTTTCCGTTACAAAAAATAAAAGTAGGGCTTAAAAATAATTCAACACAGGCACCATGGGAACAGAAGTAGTGAAACTAATAATTCAGACACAACGGGTTAATATAACCGTTGTCTGTGATACAAAACAGCAACAATTTTGTGCTTTTCTTTGAGAAGGATAAAGAAGCGTAAGGTGAGTTGTTTGCTAATGAATTAGTTAATATTCAGAAGTGGCATTATATACTGAACTGTCATTGTACTGTGGCGTTTTGTTGTTATTGTTGTATATCAATCAGGAATGTATCTAATACAGCCTTGAAAGTGAAATATAACTTATTTGTCAACGTAAATTCTATTGCACGAGCCGTATAGTCATTTACGCTATCAGCTGCAAGAGATGGTGGATGAAATACATCGGTGAAACAGGCCTACGACTGGCTGACAGATTCAGAAAACATCTTCTGGATGTGCAAAACGGTGCCCTGAAACCAGTGCCGTTGCATTTCAGTTCACAGGATCACCAAAGTGTCCACGAGAGGAAAGTGACAGCCATGAAATCTAGCCATTCCAGCGACAGAGTCCTTAAATTTCTTGAAAATCGCGTCATTTTCACCTTGGGCAGCATTACACCCAGGGGACTTAACTGTCAATACAACTTTATTTAAAATTCTCGAGTTAAGGCCCTTGGTATTTCTCGGCTATTTATTCTCCTCGTTTCACTGGCAAGACATGAACGTGGCTGCTTCCGGATGCGTCAGCTAAGTAATTTTGAGTTATTCGTATGGTTTTGTTAAATTTATGTTTGTGCTGATAAAGGCTCTAAAGCCGCAACGTTCTCGTTTCGTTTGTGTTTTTTGCAATGTGAAGCTGTCTGATCTACTTTCGTTAGTTTTGTATCGCTCCATATTTTTTTTTTTTTTTTTTTAAATAAACTGGTATTCGATGGGTAATGTGCTCAACATTCCCGCTCTATCCTTTACTTCCGTGGACATTACATTGTACTTAATCCACATTTAACCTATTTGACCTGGACGACAAAGGATCTACCTCGATGTGGATTCAAACTCGACTTTCGGACCCACAGAACAGGCACTGCGCTAACGCGGCTTCTTTTTTATAATGGGTGTCTAATAATTAGGGCTATACCAAATATTCGCTTCGTATTCGCTTCGGGGCCGAATAGTGGACCTATTGACTATTAGGTATTAGGCCAAATAGTTGCGGTCGGGCCGAATACGAATAGTAGTTACCTTACACCCGCTTCTGCATACACGGCATTAATACCGACAACATGGAACGACTGGTTTTGTTGAAAGCTAATGCAGCTTTCATACATTAACAGTGACACCAGTTGTTTGCAGGTCTGGCTAGACATTATCTCTTAAACTTATTTTTGTGTCTGCCTCGCGGTCTGCGCCCATTCCTCTCTCAGGTGTATAAAGTTTTTACTTCTCTGGCATCTGATATTCTTTCAATATGCCCCAACCATTTTATTCTGTTAGCTCTCATGATGCTACTGATCAATGGTGATTTAAACAGATTATGTGTTACGTTGTTGCTTCTCACTCTCCATTCCCCGCTGTTAGCATCTTTGATGGGTCCAAAGATTTGTCGTAAGACTGTTTCTGAATGCAGAGGCAGGTGTAAGGTAACTACTATTCGTATTCGGCCCCACCGCAACTATTCGGTCGAATACCGAATAGTCAATAGGTCCACTACTCGGCCCCGAAGCGAATACGAAGCGAATATTTGGTACAGCCCTACTAATAATGTACCTTTATGTGTCATATTATGAACAATGCAAAGTAACCGTTTTTTGTCAAATTTTCTAATTGTAATTTACATGCATATTATAGAAAAGCAGTGATTGGTGATGATGATGATTATGATGAGAAGATGACGTTGATGAAATCTAAGCTCAGGTTAATGACTATCTTAAACTTGTTTGCTAATTTTTCTTTTATATTTGATTCAGCAACATAAAATGGAAACCAGGAAAATTCCTGGTGAGTAAAGAGAGCTGTTATTATGTTAATTACATTGAATGTTGCCTACGGACACATTTATAGCAAATGTGGATCTAGAATCAGCTTTTACTGGATTAGGACTGCAGGTTTTACCTGGTTGATGGACCCCATACGGGTGCCCTTATTAATAAATTATTGGAGGTTAAACCGTGCACCTGGCATCTACTTTTTTGGGCTACCGTCCATATTAGAATTTTGTAATCTCAAATGTTATTGTGAACATTTAGGGAGCAGCACATAGGGGTTTGTCTGATCGTCCTATCGATCGATCGGGTCGCACTGGTGTGAACAATGTCCTTGACCCTACCCCCACCCACCCACCCCCTTCCCTTTCCGTTTTTCATTTCAAATTAGGTTCTCCCTCCTTTGATTTGCATCCTGTAGGATTTACCATTGCAAGGATGAGAATCGAACAGCCAACTTTCCCAGAAAACTCCCCTAATCTTATAGCGATAGTAGCACAGTTGCATTTGGGCATCACTAAATGGTTGGCAAGTAGCTGACAGTCCGGCATGGGCTAATTGTGTTGACTTTAACCTACCCGACTCCACGAGGTCATATACCATACAGACGCACACGGAGATAACTGGCAAGGTTCTGTCTCCGCTGGTTTGTTGACGTCAGTGCAGTTACCCTCTTCTACAACTGCAAAGACGCTGGGTGAAAGCTCTTCGACACAAACAACGCGTCTCCTTCTGCTTCCTGGTCCACATGTGACGTCACACTGAAAAGAATTGGAATGTTGAAAATTATCACGAAAGATTTTCTTCATCGTCTATTTTTTCTCTGAAAGGAAGTTAAAAATACTATGGAGACTTTAATAATCGCATCCTGGGGGGCAAAGTAAAAACGCAAATCCCAGATAGCTCAGTCAGACTCTAAAGGGGTTAAACAGTAATTGAGGCATCCAAAAAGCCCACATGGTAAAACACGTTTAAAGCCGGTGCGTGATTACTGTATTAGGTAGTAGCACTCAATGTACAGACTAAAGTAGACGTGCAATCAATCTAATTAATCCTAGCTAGTCCCGATTTGTGGAATCTAAATCTTTATCCTTCAGCTTCTCCTTCAGACTCCAGAACTATCAAGATGTCGAGCTCATTGATTCGACCTTTCTGTTGCTAAGAATTTTGTTCTACTGGAAGTTTGAAGTTTGAACAACGGATCAACATCATGGCACACGGATAATAACCCATAAGTGCTCCGTTCTTCTTTTTACTCAAGTCTGAGTCCGAAGAAGCTCAGCACAGTGCACAGGCTCTGTAGCACCGGAGAGGATCATGAAATACTTTGGGTAGATTTTTAACTCTAAATTTTGCCAGGGCAGCGCCGTTATGTTACTATCTTCGATTTCCAACTGCCAAGGGATTTTTTACGTGCCCAACAATGCACACGGTCGTCCGATCTCACTACCCAGAGACCAGGGGGAATTACTAGAACAAGTCCACGTGAAAAAATCCCAGAACTTCTAGCACAATCAAGGCGGACACCATGCCTAGAGACCATGCAGCCCCTTGATCTATTGGAATCATCGAAGAGCTCGACTCACACTTGTGCTCACTGTTCATAGCAGGGGATGTGCAACATTCCTCATGAGCTTTCCCTCCTCCTCCCCTGTTAGAATATGGCAAGGCACTCACGCTTCTCCCCTCATCCCGCCCACCCCCGTGAGTATATGACAAGGCACTTACGCCCCTGCCCTCATACCACCACCCCCCCCCCTTTTCCACCAGTATAACAACATGTGATGAGAAAGAGGGGAACAAAAATAAACATCCCAAGCACCGTTAACATGAACTTAGGGAAAAAGATCAACATAAATCAAAGTGTCAAATAATATAAGAAACAATCAAAATGCATTCCTAATCTATAATTGAATGCACTTGTTAGAATAGTAATTAGATTCTTACCAGCAGGTGTACAAACGTCTCGTGGAAAGAAAAACAGACTCGACGTTATTTTTTATAAATAGTTTAACAATTTGTACTTTTATTTTTAATTAAAATGAAAAAAGGGTATGTTAGCATAATGGATTATTACAAGAACAAATGAACTCATCTTCAATATTGCTTGACGGCCCCTCCCAAACCCCCACTCCCTTTAAACTTCTACCCCCCCCCCTCCCCCTTTTGGGGCTGAGAGATAGAAATCACAAGAAGCATGTGTTTGTATTGAAACCTGTCAATATTGTTCTTAGTGACATCATAGTGCAGACAAACACCTTGACGTCACAATTTCAGTTTAAAGATGACCGCCCCACTTTTGATGCGCGCCAAAGATTAGCAGCGTTCTGTTATCCATTTTTTTTTTTTCTAAAGTCTGTGAAGGGGTGACACCTATAGAAATTTACTGACGAATGCAGTCCAGTATGGCAATTTATGTTTGTCGGTCAAGCAAAGATATGAGTGCAGAAGAAAGTTTCAAAACAGCGTTCAGAACCCGGTCAGGAACATGAAGTAGTGACCTCAGAGTCGACTGTAACCTCTAAAAGTCTCCTACAGAAAACCCACCCGATTGATTGTGGGCGACATTGCTGCACATCTTGACATCAGTCAAACTTCAGCACACAAAGTCACTATGAAGTACCGCAAAGTGTCTGCATAGTTGGTGCCATGACAGCTTACTCCAGAATTGAAAAACAAGAAGCTTGATGCTTGTAAAGAACTCATAATGTGCTTTGAAGCAGAAGGGTCTGTTTCCCATCAAAATTGTACCATCATTAGCCAGTGAATTTCCATAGGTTTCCCATCAAAATTGTACCATCACTAGCCAGTGAATTTCCATATGTAGCACCTCTACACTGATTAAGTTTTTAAAAAAGGGATAAAAGAACGCTGCTCCTGTGTGGTGCATGTCACAATTTGGGAGGCCTTTTTTAAACTGCCATTTTTCGTCAGCGTCTTGATGTCACGTGGTTAACACTCTTGACATCCCCAACAACAGTACTGACAGATTAAAAAGACCGGAAATTATAATTGCTATCACTCTTTCAAGGTTTACATTTGAAATCTCCAGTATATATATATATATTATTTGAAATAAAATAAAGGTCCAAAGTAAAGGCCCTTTTACATGCAGGGCGCATAGGGTATTTCAGGCCAGACTCAAATTTTTATAGACCAGTCACCTCGTGGGGGACGTGTCAATATCACGTCGGCCGCCTTTACTTTCCAGGACCTGACCTGTGACCCATTTTAGGCTAGGTCGACATGGGAGCCAATATCATGTTTAAAACAATTCCGGCCCTGCTCTCTAGCGTAGTTGGCTAAACCGGATTGTGCGGTGACCGGGTGACGAACTCCTTGTGGTCCAGATTCACTCCCGGGGGTAGGCAGAAAAGCCACATTTCTCCCAGATTTACGGTATTTACAATGGAATCAAGGCCGAAAGGTTGCGATATCCATGATACCGAGCCTAAGGGTTAACAACTCATGGCTTCTGGATACTAAAACAAACAAATCAATTCCTGATTTGAACCCAAGACCAAGGGGAATAAACAAATACATAAAAGGAGAATTTCGTACATGACTAGGGCAGCCGATTAGATCTCTTAAAAATTATATTGGGGGGGGGGGGGTGTGAACAGTCATCCCCCGATGTTTCTGCCAGGTTTGAGGTTACTAAACCCTAATATTCCGGCGCCTCTGCTCCTTATCATATTCTCTACTAGAATCAGTGCCAGAAGTAGTACCCAGTGTTAAACAACTGTAACTCAGTAACCGTTCGGTGGAAAGTTGTTACAATCTGGCATACAACCTGTTAATCCTTAAAAACAATTGTCTTTTTAAATGTTAATAAACATCATGATGCAAACAATCAGCATGCTTACAGTTACTTTAGTAACAGGAACTTTTTAAAACATTAAATTGCACGCGTTTAATAGGCGTTTTACTCTCAGATGTCATCTCTAGCACGCACTAGCCTGTGAGGTGGATTTTTTATTGTATGCGGGACAAGTTATCAAAATAATATCCCGTATACGATTTCCAACTTCCATACGTGTGTCAATTACTGTATATTCTAAATTTTTAGGGGCACACAAATTACTTTTCAAACAAAGATCATGGGAATTCACCGCTGTAAGAAAACAGCAGTACCTGTGCAATTATAAATTTTAAAATCACAAGGACATGGGAAATCCAAGACCACCTATAATTATTCATTTTGATCCGTAAAGGAGTTTTCGAGATATTTGTTAAAGTGAGAGGGCATGACTTCTTAAGTTTTTATAAGGAGTAGAAAATTATAGGGAAGAGAAAAAGTTGGTAAGAAACAACAATTAGTTTATGTTAGCTTTACAAAATCGATCACAATAAACAAACAAAGGACGTTGCGGCGATTAGCCTTCATCATATTAACTGCCATTATAGTGCGCTGAATTGAACTGCTGCTGTCGTATTCTTAACTTGGATGCTATTATAATTTAGTTAGACATACAGAACAATAACTGCATGAACCGTCACCTGTGACCAATGGCCAGTATACCACAAAGCACCACAGAGTTTACTGGCGCGGCAGATTTGAAATGCTGGTGGCCGTTGGGTAATCTCGCATCTCTTTTCTGGTACAGCTGTGCCCAGTTTATTTGCACAAAACACTTGTCTCTTGACCACTCCTGCACCGCATTCTGAAGAACACTGGGAGTGTAAGGTTTATGTAGTTTAAGATTTTGGATTTCGAAGTTATGTTTATTCATGAAATGTAAGTAGATGTAGACATAATATGAGATGTCAGAGCGTAACTAATAGTGTCGACAACAACAACAAAACTTCGGACAACAAAAGTCCCTCTCGTCGTTTTTTTTTTTTTTTTTTTTGCTAAAGATTTATGCTGCTTTTTTTTTTTTTTTTTACTTCTCCATTTTCGCCCGTTATTCGCTTTCCACAAATTTAGCATCCTAGTCATTGTTTATGTCGTGTTAAATTACTTCTTGACTCTTTCAGTACCAGAAGGTACTGAGCGAAATGACTACTAAATGATGGAATCAATGAACGGTGTCGTTATGGCAAACAGTTTATTTATACCAGCCAATTGGATGTTGATTTTGGAAAGCCCTCTTATTTAAACTGGGAGTGGACAGGCCAGTTATTTTATACAGTTGTATCATTGTTCCTATTGTTTTACATACATGAATGACTTTTGGCTATAAAATACATTTTGTGCCCGGCTCTCTAGCGAAGTTGGTTAAACCTGACGTTCGCGGCGGCCGGGTGACGAACTCCTTGTGGTCCGGGTTCACTCCCGGGGGTAGGCAGAAAAGCCACATTTCTCCCAGATTAACGGTACCTATAATGGAATCAAGGCCGAAGGGTTGCGATATCCATAGTACCGAGCCAAAAGGGTTTACAACTCATGGTATCTGGATACGTAAAAAAAAAAAAAAAATACATTTTGTCATTCGGGATGTTGTGTGTGCGTGTGTATGTGCGTGCGGGCGCGCGAGTGTGGCTGGGTGATTGTTTTATTATTGGGAGGAGTTGAGGGGAAGGGGGTAGGAGGGGGGTGGTGGGTGCTGACCAGTTTCACTTCTCGTTCTAGTTGATTGCATTTTTCATATAACAGGCCAAGTTTGACCAATGGATAAAACCGACGTGTCGATGATATTAAACTTCAACAGTAATAATAAACACACAGTTTTAGTAACAAACCAGCTTTGACGATGTTCTTCCAAATACAGACTAGATAATCAGAATGCTTTGATAAAATGCATAGGTTTCAATGAAACGCAGCTTAATAAATAGTAATATAGCTGTAATCATAATTGATAACAACCTACAGATTTTCAGTGCAAAATTATAACCTCCTGATATCATTCAGCGAAACTACATCAGTGTTCACATTCCGACAAGTTAGAGACATAATGAGTAGAAAGAACCATGGTACAACAAAGAGTCGATTAAACAAAGCTAAAGCAGTAATAAAAACATACAGAGTTCGAAATAAACTATTTACATTCAGAACAATACAGAAAATAATCCGATAAACATTAGGTTTAATTTACCAATTGTCCTGTTGTGCTTCTTTATGCCATATAGGGTTCAAAGTCTATTTCTCTATTACGTTCTGTACTGTAAAATCAATTCGAAATCATGGGGGAGGGGGTGAGAGGGGTGGGGGAGGGGATCAGTCCATCACCTTTAGCTTCTCTCATCAAAGTTCGGTTTACTTTTACCTGGACGTCCTCGTTTCCTCAATGCCTCAGTTTCCAATTTCAGTTTTTGTTTGACGATTCTCTATTCTAGCGGTTCTCAAACTTTTTTCGCCGCGGCACCCTTGTCTGGCACACACACACACACACACACACACACACACACACACACACACACACAAATTCGCTGGCACACCTACTCTTGGAGAGGTTTGAATACCTAGGGAAGGAAGAAAATCAGTGCACATTTAATGTGCACTTTAACGCAATGAATAATACTGTTTTGATGAATTTTTCATTAGTTCCTATATGTATATTGAAAGTTTAGTCAATTTTACCCTCAAATCACTTGACCCCAAAAGTTTGGTCCTGCATCTGTTTTTCATGTAAGTGTACGTTGAGAATGTACTGCAGCCTTGCCAGTATCATTACCATTTGAATAAACCTGCTTCCAGAATTCTTCTTGGCTTTCTTAACGTTGTTTCTGTTTCACACTGCTGTCTTTGTTGATCACAAGCAGATTTTGAAAAATTCTTGATTATTGCGGCGGCACCCCTGACATACGCTCGCGGCACTCCTGGGTCCTGCGACACCCAGTTTGAGAACCTCTGCTCCATTCGCCTCTCTTCAGAATGTTTCTTATATAGCGCCATCTTCTCTGACATAAGTTTAACAGTACAAAATATGCGACAACAGTAATAATAATATTAGTAATTATAAATACAATCCCAATCAGCACAAAGAGACATCTTATTCAAAGCATATTTATTCCAACTCTATGCTACTAGTGCCAGACATGGTCACTCACAACAAACCATAAAAGAAAATTAGTAACCATGGAAATGAGATGTATGAGAAGGGCTGTAGGAGTGACCATAAGAGATAAGATCAGGAATGAGATCATAAAAGAAGAAGTTGGCACAGAACCAATTCTAAATTACATATGAAGACAGCAAGTGAAATGGTTTGCCCACTTAGAGAGCATGCCTTGTGACACCATATCATACAAAGCATACATGGAAAGAGAAGAAGGACGTAGAGCACGAGGTAGACCAAGAACAAGATGGAAGGATAACATCAGAGAAACTCTACAACAGCACAATGTGCCTATGGCCGAGGCGGCCAGAAGAGCTAGAAACAGAACCTTATATCTCCCTCGACACCCACAGTGGTAAAAGAGGAAGTGAAGAAGAAAAAGAAGTAATTATAATAATAAATATTCCTAATAAAACACGATAATAAACTAAACAGAGTTTCTGTAAAAACATCTAACCTCCTGGCTCCATTCAGTGAAAAACCACCCCTGTCCACATTCTCCTAAACTACAAGGCTCCTGGGAATGGGGCTTGATTTCGGTACAAACGTGGTCAGAGAGGATATGGCCGTTTGCATCAACGCAGCTGATGCTTCTACTCTTGTGACCATCGCCGCACCAAGTTGAACACTAGAAAAAAAAAAGATACTGATCTGTGATATTCCTGTATGTTCAAATCTCAGATTGTTTTGGTTTCCATATTTACAGATCAGGTGATGCCGACAAAACGTAAGTGGAACAAAGCCAGAGTCTAGAGATGGACGTAAAGCCAGGATTTTTCCGATGGAGTTTAAAACCGGTGAACACAGACCAACAAACTAGCCCCCAATCGATGAGAACTTAATGCCACTGTTTAAAGTAGTGTAGGGGAAGGTGTAGGAGTGAATGTGGTCATTTTTAGCCCGCTAGATTGAAGTTTCATAACCAGTGCAGTTGTCACGAACTTTGAAGGTTCGGAATTTAGTTTGGGCACTGACAGAAACAAATCTCATTACTATAACAAGGATTCGAATCCTGGTTTCACAAAGGAGAGCCCAGCGTGCTAGCCTCTTGACCAAAGGCAACAGTAAAAAGATGCTGCCAAAATGGGCACTGAATGACGAAAGTAGAACTACTATAATGAGTTACATAGGTTAGTTGCGTATCTTTTACATGACGTTGCAGAACCAACCCCAACAGCCCCTGGCTGTTGTGTGTTTTTTCTAGGCAAATTTACGTCCAGTAGTTTGCCATTGCTTGCTGGACGGTCAGCTTTCTTGATACCACTGTCGAAACCAACGCAAGGTCCATGGCCCGCAGCTGGGATTGAACCCGGCATCCCGGCTTAACGAAGCGTTCGCATCGACTTAGCCACAGAGCCGACGAGTTACATAGGGTGGCTCTGAATTATGAAATACAGAGGTTCATCAAGTATGTCAAGTATACACACAGTTGAGAACATCTGGCTTTCAAATGAAGATACGAAATACACAAGAAGTCAAAAAAGAAGGTGGACTAGTCAAGTTTGCATTTACATTTACTGTACTTTGCTGTGATTTATTTAATCATAATAGATTGTCCACATTACTTGTTATTCAGCATATGTAATAACAATGTCTGTAAACTGTATAGTTCCTATCTATGGGTCTTGATAAGACTTGACATAATTTTTTTTTAATGAAAACCGGAACAAAATATGGTAGTGTAACAACAGAATGGACAGGGGAAGGTTAAGCATGCATATTATGTATAGAATACAAGTATACGTATGGTGAGATATTTGGTACGAAAACAATCACTAAAGGAAGTAAAAAAGGTCACCACGCCCAATCATCATCAATCAGCATGTCCTTTGTAGAACGTCGCTATCCTTACGGCACGCCAGCAATTATTCATCTCCCTAGCCAGCCCTCCAACCCAATGTGCTTTCAATACTAATGCATCTTAAGTATCCTGTATCAATCTTCGCGAAAGGTGGACCCCTGCCTCGCTTTCCACAGCGAATATGCTAGTCATATATTTTTTTTAGGTAAGGTGGGACTCTGTGAGTTTTGTGGTCAGTATCACTTTGTCCTATAGTGCAGAATCTGGATGGTGACTCTTTGAGCAGCTAGCCACCTCCATCCCTTCCTCAGTATTTGTAAATTAAACATCAAGATTTGTAAACCAGATGCTGAATATTTTAATAACTAAATATAAATTCAGCGAAAAAAGTGTAAACATGGGACATTATCAATGAAATGCTAAGATATTCACAGTCAACGCTTACATTTGACCAGGCTCCAACCTGCCAGGAACTGCACGGACCGTTACTACAAGTTTGTAGGTCCGGAATGTTGCCTTGGCCTTCGCAACTGGAACCAGGCATTGTCATGTTGAGTGTTGGCGAAACCCTAGCCTGACACGCCACAATCCTTGATTGTTCTCCCGTTCCACAAGATACTGAGCAAGGCGACCAGGGTCCTGCAACCCATCTAGGAATACAACAAGTGAAGTACTGTACTGATTAGTCCTCGCATTTGCAGACACTTCAGACAACAACAAACATCGAAAGCTATAGGGAATTAAAGCAACTAAAAGGTTTTGGAGAGGCTGCTAATGAAAAGAGAGTAAAGTAAAGATCCCTTTTCACACATTTAAGGCGTATCGGGCATATGGGAAGAGCACCCCTATTTTTACAGACCATCAACACTAGGTGGGTAATGCGGTCAGCATTACGCCGGCCGTCTTTACTTCCCCGTGACGGCCATATTGGTACCCATTTTAAGCTGGGTCGACCTGCGACGCCCCATGCCTTGATAAAATTCCACGTAGCCAACAGTGGGTTTTGATCGCGGTAATTGGATTTACAAGTGGGACTCGCAACGCCTAAGCCACGGAAAAGAGAGTAGCGGACAGAAATGTCAAAAAGAGACAACTACAAGTCGTTGGCTACAATAAAAGGCAAAACACACTTTTAAAAACCATGCTCGAGGGAAAGGAAGAGCGCAGGAGGTAGACACTAATACAAATATGAGGACAACATCAATAGATGATGACCAGCAGTCTAAGAGAGTTTACAAACAAGAAAAAAGATAAGAGCGTGTTGGGTATCCATTGTAGCTAACATATACTGTGAAAACGGTACCTGACTGATTGACAGGGATTTCGCCAGGGATCAAACCTATCGCCTGTTTATTTAACAATGTTAATGGTTGTAAGGGTAATGTTTCACAATTGTTTGCAAGTAATTAGTGTTGTGATCTTGTAACTTGCTTGTTGCAACCTGTTCATTTTTTTTCTTATTCACCGACTGTAAACTCCGGCGGGAAGTTCTGGTTGTTCGTCTAAATTATAACTTTAGTTTTGTTCCATAACCAGAGTGCTGCGTGCACATCTGTTTTACAATTGTGGCTCATTTGTATGCAGACTATTGGTTACTTGCCTCTCTGACAGATGCATTTCGACTTCAAAGGATTTCCCCCCCCCCCTTTTTTCCGTTTCCCAGTTAGTTGACACTTACGACACACGTTTGTTGGGGGGGGGGGGGGGGGGGACGAGAAGTGGTCTGTTCTTGTTTTCACTACAATGGCTCCCCAGAAACCACACGGGGGAGTTGCAATCACAGTTCAGATTGTTTACAAAAAATTATCTTTTTTTTTTCTTTGCATTCTGTTTCATAAGCTCAGGCTAGACCACGAGGTGGGTTGCCTCTATGAACTCGCATGTCAGCTGCATGTCCTTCGGTTCGCCACAACTTGCTGAGCACACTTTCCTCTTGAAGCCAGGTTTGTTTTCGAAGTTGTAGGTAGAGTGGGCAGGTCTGCAAAATCTTCTCAGGTGTCTCTGGTCCCGTGTGACAGGCACACTGTATGGACTGCTGTCTTTTTTTTTTTAATGCATGTGGTAAATTAGAGTACAATAACATGTTCTTAGACGGAACACTGTTGTATGTTGGGAGTTGCGAGGTCTCGTGGCATGGCGTCCGCCTTGAGTGCTGGAGGTCCCTGGCTCAAGCCCCGGTGAGGGCTGGGATTTTTCACGTGAACTTCCAGGTAATTTCCGGCACTTGAGACACCAAAGACACCTGAACACATTCTGCAGCCCTGCCCACTCTACCTACAAATTTGAAAAGAAACTAGGCCTCAAAAGGAAAGTGTCTATGGGTAGTAAGATTGGACGCCCGCGTGTATTGTTGCGCATATAAACAATCCCTTGGCATTTGGAAATTGAAAAGCGTAGCCTAGCTGCGCTGTCGGGCCAAATTTTGGAGTTAATAATCTACCAAAAGTATTTCAGGATCCTCCCCGGTGATATGGAGTTCGTGCACTGCGATGAGATTCTTTGGACTCAGACTTGAGTTAGAAATAGAAGTGAGAACTTATGGGTTACTACACCCTGTGCCATGATGTTGATCCGTTGTTTAAACCTTAATCGACCACGTTCAACCTACTACGAGCATTATCTGTTACATATGTGGTCTGGTTTCTGTGTGCCAATTATGTTCCCTGAAAATGTTACTTTCACTAAAACTAGTGACTAGTAAGGATTGATGGGGAGGGAGCTGGTATGCACTATACACACCCCCACACACATATCTTTAGACATATATATATATATATATATATATATATATATATATATATATATATGCACACCTAGCATACACGTCTACGCGCCCAAGTGAGAATGCACGTAAACGTATCTACATACAAACACACACATGTATATATATATATATGTGACAAAAACAGTAACATTATAAACATTTTTTTTTACTACTGGTCATATTTTGCTGCCCTAAAAATGTTGCCGCGTTCTGCAGCTGCGGATAACTAAATAGGGCCCCGTGCATACATACGGTACACTGAGGTTTAAGTGACTTACTCTGCTGAACAAGGCCTGGTGTGACAAGGAACTGCCAAAAGCTTTGGTCGCAGAAAGTGTCTACAATTCTCGTCGGTGACAACAGCCTGAGTTATAGTGTCCACACAGACAACCACAGTCTGCTGGATTCCTGTAGGGTTTGAACGAATGCAGAATTCAGAACAGCTACAGGACAGTTTGCTACAAAGGCACTCTTTTATATCATTTTAAGAACAAAACTGTTCTTTTCAATCAAGGGGTAAGGAACCAATCACTTTTAACCCCCACACTCCTCCCTCTCCCCTCCCCCTTTTTTTTTTTTTTAACTGGGCATGGAGCTATTCGGCTTTTCTAACTATGTTTAGTAGGAATCTTTTTTAAAGTATTCTTTTATATATTTCATATTATTTCATAAATCTATTGTATTTCTTCGACATTCAACACATAATAATAATAACAACACTAATAATAACACCATGTTTTCTTTGTGTCATCGCTCATTTCCTCCTATTACCCTTTTTGTGTTTTGCGCTTACAAGCACATATGGTCAACAATAATTAGTCTTGCGTCATAATCATCATCGTCATCATCATCGTCATCATCATCGTCATCATCATCGTCATCTTCATCGTCTTCATCCACTTACGTTGTCAAGAATCGTGGTGTGAATGTACAATGTTTTCAAATGCACGAATTCCTCTTGTTCTTGTGCGTCCATTTGTTTTCCTGTCAGTTTAGCTTAAATGTAGCTTCTGTGTTGGTAACTGGTGCTACTAGGTTTTGTCGAAAATTTATGATGCAGACTCTTTATTTTAAATTTCACGTCAGTCAAACATTTTATCCCCCTGTCTATTCTTGTCTCGAGTTCTCTAAGTTGTGGGTTCAATTTCGGAGGTAGGTAGGTAGGCAATTGTAACCCACCACATAAGCGATAAACACTCGGTGACACAAAGTGCCACCATGCGGATGAGAATCACCTGGGGAGAGGTCCCAGAAACCCCTTTGAGCCGTTAGGCCATATTTATGGCCCGGCTATATTCAGGGCCCCCGGCAAAAGCGAGGGTGGGGCTTTAAAATAACAAAAAAATTGCATCCCACGAGGGGGCGACTTCTAAAATAGGTAACAACAATTTCGGACTCCGTGGTTCAGTTCGGGAGTACAGATGTTTGACAGATCTCCCGGGTTCGCTATGATTACGGAGATCGTCCTTAATGTGACGCTTAGGCGAACCGCAGGCCGATCTCTGGAGAGACAGAGACTTCATCATGTATCGGGTCCTTTGCAGAAAGTCGATGTCATCACGGTCTGCATGAAAGAGACCTGGTGCACTTTCCTACACATAGGTATTACTTATATCCTGTGTCCATCTTCGTTCCGTTCGTCTTTGCTGGTACTGTGCCTTTCGCAAGTATTCTCCCTAGTCCACAATGGCCCTGATTTTCACATCATTTAGGATATCAGTAGGCGAAGTGCCTTATAAGTTTGGAAGAAACAAAAAGAAGATTAAATTATTCTTTTTGAGTTGAAACGTAGACAATATAACAAGACCACAAGAAGACTTACCGCCACCACACGAATGTGTGCATTGTGTGAGCCCAGAAACTCTCCATTCGTAAACTAAACTGTGAGTTTTCAGCGATGTCTCTCTACTAATGTCCACATCTTTGACTTGGTAGGCCCCCACAAATCTCTCTAGAACCAGTTCATTGCTGGAATGTGGAGTCATCGGTGGTGTATTTGGAAATGTAATGCTGATTTGCTGTAACGTGTCAGCTCTAGGAGATGGCGGATCTATGACATTTTCATGTCTGGATAGTTCATCAACGCCTATGAAAGCATGTGAACTGCTATACTGCTTTCTTTCTTCATTCAGTGTGTTTGGGCTGTCTTTCAGTGGGGAATTTACAATTATAGACTCGTTACGGGGACTTCGAGAACTAGTGAATATATCATAGCTACGGGCGTGCACATTAAAGTCTACTGTTGAATCCTCATAGAGATTTCGCCTGTTTCCGAAATGTGTATGTTCATGTTGTACGAACTGCCGTCTTAGCATTGTATCTTTCTGAATATCTGTTGTGGATCGGTAACGATCTTCAGATAGAACAAAATCACGAGTTTCAGATTGCAAACTAACTAACTCGGTTTGGGTTGGAGACAACTCACTGCTGGCTTTTTTCGGCATTTGAAAGTACTCATGCTTTCCATATTCTGTATCAGCAGTTTCTAAATTAGGAGGATTAGTTTTTGAGTGGATTAGAGAGGGGGAATTGTCCAGTGACAACATCAACGAGGTATCTTTATCCGTTTCCGATGTTTTTAATGAAAGCTCGGTGTTTCTGTGAAGACTGATCCCTAAACTGATGGTATCATTATTTACCTTAGTATCTCCAACTATCGGGCCTCGCCTCCAAGAAACGGCTCTTTCAGCTTGTTTTTGTCGAATCCTGTCCTGAATCTCTTTAATTTTTTCGTTGTATAGTCTTCGTTGCTCTTTCAACCGCCGTTTTCTATGTTCTATGACGGGGCTATGGCTAGGTTGACGCATATCTTTAATGATTTTCTCTATTCCTTGTTCAGTTTTCGATACGCTATACTGCATAGTTCTGTAATTGTACAGCAATGTACTCGATATGGTTGTAACATCATTATCACTGGACAACAAAACTGTAGGTTGTGAACTTATAGTGTCTACATAATCCACTGCATTGATAGAACTCTTCCTGGTATGCTTTTCTCCCTGATCGACGTTACTGATAGAACTTGTCTTAGAGAATGTATCTTTATGATCAAAGTTTTGTCTAGAACTTTCTCTAGACAGATTATCTGCATAAGCAAAGTTATTGTTAGAAATTTGCCTAGACTGGTCACGCTCAAGATCAAAGTTACTGTTAGAACTGTGCCTAGACTGGTTATCTTCATGATCAAAGTTACTGTCAGAATTCTGCCTAGACTGGTTATCTTCATGGTCAAAGTTACTGTTAGAACTTTGCATAGACTGGTTATCTTCACGATCAAAGCTACTGTTAGAACTTTCTCTTACATGGTTATCTTCTCTGTCAAAGGTATTATTAGAACTTTGCCTTGACTGGTTATCTTCATGGTCAAAGTTACTATCAGAACTTTGCCTAGACTGGTTGTGTTCATGATCAAAGTTGTTATTAGAACTTTGACTTGACTGGTTATCGTTGTGATGAACATTTCCTAAAGACGTTCTGCTAGAAATGTCGAGGCTGTGTGTATTATGACTATGATGATTCCGATGATGTTTAACTGTAGGCCTTGACCGCCCAGTCACGTGATCTGCATATCTGTGAGGGAACGTAAAACTTTGAGAATATCTGGGGACCGTATATCGAGAGTTGTCAGCAGCAAAAACATGTTGTGAGTGTGTCTTGGTGGCTTTTTTTTTATCAACGTCCCCGTCAATGTTATTAACAAGAGAGGAATTGTACTTATCGAAAGTAAACACGCCATAGTGTTTAGGTATGTTTAACTCACTTGTTGATTCTGAAACATTTAGTTTATTCGCATGAGTGATAGCTTGATTTTCATTTCCGGACATATGTGTACTATATGCCTTTCCGTGTTCATTAAAGTTGAATGCATTTTTGCTTGCGTTAAACTTTTTTGATGCTGAAGTATTTTTATCATAATAGTCTCCAACTAAGCTCCAGTTTCCTTTGTTATTAGAACCCTCAAGATTGTTTGAAGATATACTCTCTGACTGTACATTCATTTCTGAAATATCATTCTCTAATGGGGTGAAACCGTTATTGACAAAGGTCGCTTGATGATCCTCAAGAATATTGTCAACTGTCTGTTGAATCATATTCGAGAGAGTTGTGTGATAATTACTGTTTTGATCTTCATTATCACTTGGTGCCCTGTCTGCATTTTCCTTTTCACTATGCTCTTTATTTAATATCAAATCTGACATACTAACTTCTCCATGACCTAAACTTGGGCCTTTCAAATTATTACTTTTGCTTACATGTAAAAGGCTTACATTGTCGTCTACTTGCTCATATAACTGCTTTGTTATGTTAAGGATGTTTTCTAAAGGTAAACTGTGCCTCTCGTTAAGTAAAATATTTTTAACTTTAGACACTTTGTCAGTGCGGATACTTGTAGTGTTTATTGTTACGGGGAGGCAGCTTGCTTTGCGTCCAGTGTCCCCCGAATTAAAATTGACTTCATCCCTTGAAAAGGCTGCTGATTCTGTCCTAACTATAGACATTGACCGTGTTGTGCTTGAGAGGTCATACAAATTCTGTACGGATACTTCATTCTGTGAAGTCAAAGACATCTTCTTCGGCTCAGCGTTGGGATCATATTTTCTACCGCGCTCTCTTTTGTCTACATAATGAGTCCGGGTTGGTCTCGTCATGAAGGGTGGAAGAGGCCAGTCAACAAAACTGTGTTTTGATGCGTGGTTGATCTGCGAGGAGTTCCCGTCTGGTGATCTAGAATCAGGAACACTGAGGTCCTTGTCCGTTTCTGGTGGGATCTCTATCGGCCATGATCTTTGTCTGATTTGCTGAATGACAGCTAACCCAACATCTCGAGGGACGCTGAAGCTGTACATAATCCCCGGATTTCTTCCCTTGATTAGTATCTGAGAAAGGGAAAACTTCAGATGTAATAATTTAATAGGCTTATAATTATATCATCAAAATAGTTGTACAAGTGAAGTAAGTAAGTAAGCCTTAATTAAGCCCACTGCTCATGCAAGCAACCCTCGTGTCTTTGCTGGTTTCAACTGATATAACCAACCATAAGCTTGTCACTCGACAGTGAAGGTAGACGGCCAATTTGCTACCGCGGCGACAGTACATCGCCGACCAAAGAACCAAATCTCACCACTACCTGTTGATTCACCTTCGTCTCGTCCATACGTGTCTGATTAAAAAGCGCAGCTCTGGAAATACTGAGACCTGGCGTCATGACACAGATTGGCCCACCTTCCGAGATTGTAAAGAAAGAAATGGGCTGAAACAATCGTCGACGAAATATCTTTCTAATAATGACGGTGGACCCCTGCTGTGCGTGCTCCTCTATGGAGTTTTACTATTATTATTATCTGAACTCCTTATGACTTCTTCAGTTATTACACTGATTCACTATGTCCCAAAATTCTTACTTCAACTCTTCCTTTGCCCTATCGGTATCGGTTTAATTTCTCATACCTAGACAGTTATAACCTAAAAAATTTAATTTAGAACATAACCAGTTAAGCTTATACACCGAAGGAGTTAATATGAACAAAAAATAGTGTTCTTTGCGAACCAGTTTTCTCATCATACGGGACACAAACCAGATGTCAATATTCATCATCTACTTCTTCTTCTTCTCATTCTCTTTGTTCTTCTTCTTCTTCTTCTTCTTCTTCTTCTTCTTCTTCTTCTTCTTCTTCTTCTTCTTCTTCTTCTTCTTCTTCTTCTTCTTCTTCTTCTTCTTCTT